GAGAGGGGAATTCAAGCCAAAGGTTCAATGAGCAATTTCTGGGTTCATATCTCTCTACAATCCAGCTTTATAAGCTGAATAATAATAATCCCTGAGAATCGTGACAAGGAAACTGCTCATATACCTCACTTTATTAGATCCTTTTACTTTTAATAATCCCCTTTTTAGTCTACTTGGTCTTTGCAACCACTTCATGCGTAACTTTCCTGCCCTACCCTTATTTCGGATTTAGTCGCAGGTGAATATGAAAATATTCTGCTCTTTCTTTACATACTTAAGGCCATTCTTCATTTTTATACTTAGCTTAATTCTTCTATCGATTCTTTTTTCATATCTCTAAATGAGTACATTATATTCTTTCTCCTTTTTTTCTCATTATCTCCAATACGCTCTACATATTTCAGTACAGCTTGTCTCTCCTTTAAATTGCCTCTCCTCCTATAGATATTTTTTCGATTATCTTCATTTTGATTACATTTTGGACCTGTGCCTTGATTTTACTTGTATCCGCCTTTCATAATCTTTTGCCATATCATATAATCTTCCATATTTATCTAGCTACAACCTGTTGGAAGATATCATATTACCTCAGCCAACTGTAGAGTTTGGGACTCACACCTGGACCTGTCCTCTGCCGTATATCCTGCCCGGTTCTCCTGGCCAGCTCGGGCCTGCCTGGTCATCTTTTCTCAATCCCTCATTCTCAACCCCTTGTTCCAATAGTCCCCAAGCGGTTCATTCTGACACTACAATTCCTACCTTCCGGCCGACCTCCTGCACCACCTCATGCCTTCCATCCTGTCCCTGCATTTTCTCTTCAATGCCAGCTTCTCATTCTCCGGCCTCCAGCCTAGCCCCATCCTCCTCCATACACTCAAATCCAATGGCAATCTCGGTTTCAAATGCCACCAGCCCGCCGGTCTATTCCGCACCTCCTTTCGCCTCTTCTGTCTTTCTGCATATGCCGAGCTGTGCTTCGGCTACACCGGCTCCGGCACCGACTATCAGTAGGACAGCAGAGCTAGTCCCCGTCTGGGCCTACAAATCGTTATCGGAGGCGGCCACTGGTACCATCAATGCTGGAGGCTCGACCGGATGCTTTGCTCTGCTGGATAGAAGTTCTTCGGATCGACCCTGTCAGGCATCAGCACAACCAAGCTTACAGCATTACAGACAGATGTCACCCTTTCTCCTGGAACTAGAAGGGCAGACTCAGCCTTGTGGGATTCATGGTGAATGGGCCAAATTAGCCCGCTCTTCATCCAACCTCGTTTCATCAAGCCTACACAATGACGCAGATACAGGTACCCCTCCAACACGATCTGCATCCATTCCTTCTTCTCGAGTTATATTGAGTAGTCCTTAGGAATGGGGGCTCTAAGTTGAATTTGATATAATTTCTCTTTTCTACGTTTTGCTGGAACCAAGCTTCAGAATGATAACCTCCAGCTAGTTTAGACTATTATCTACTTTTCTTTTAATTCAAGCTTTTTTGTTGGGGAGATTTTCATTTCGTTTGAAAGTGCATGTTAAAGAGATTTGTAGGTTGATCTCATCAGAGACGACGGCTGATTACCGTTGAACTGCAGCCGTTTGGCTTTAATACGACGTTCAGGTTGACGCAGACCACGAGACATCGTCCCTCGTTTAAGGTTAAGATAGACTGAACTTTCCTCCATCATATGATGGACATCCTCGGAGCTGGAACTCTTGGAAGAATCTGACTTCAACACTAGGTCAAGAAGATAATTTCAAAGCGAAACTGTATAGGCATAGATAGATATAGAATGGTTTGGCTAATTATCTTTCCTATTGGTCATGCTACTTTTGCTCAAATGTGTGTGTTAATGCTTATACACAATACCGGTCAAAGATCAGAGTGATCAAAAAAGCCCAATGTCAGATTCTGGTCATCAAGGCTTAATAACCGAAACAACGTAAGTTCATAAACAGCCATAGTTGAGATACTGAGATGTGTGTAAACGTGTAAATCAGATTACGAAACCAGCTGTCATAACCTCTTAGTCGAGGGTGTTTAAGATTTACCCACACAAGGAAAGGGATAACTGGGGCTGTGTAATCGTTTACGTTTTATTTGGTTGATGAGCTTAATCCAGCATATTGGACGAGTGTGAATAAAGTTAGAAGCATCACTGAGCGGACAGATTGAGTGATCTCCTTTCGGATGGCGGCTCACCACCCTCTTTCTATCAATCAAGTATAAGTAGTTCTTACTCAACTTTCTACCACCGTTCTTCACATTTAGCGTATTCCTTAATCTATCAATTTAAATAGCCTCTTATCTTTTTTTTAACAGCCGACGTAGCATAATCATTTTTCGTATATAAGTAGAGCTTCGAGGCTACCAGTGATCAATAAGTAAAGTAGTCGATTGTTATAGAAAAATACATTTGCTTCATCGACGATCCTACCACAGAATGTGATATGGGAAAAGGCCTGGCATCCCTTGAAATTCAAATCTTCTCTGTGACCCAAGGGCACACGTGACAATGTGGCCAAGTGACTAACGTGTCAAGCTCACATGCTGCACTGTACCGGTTCGACTTCCGCTGGGGGGTTTGATAAGACCTATGCGAGGTCGAAACGGCAGTCCGCCCTGGATAAGAACAACTTTTGGGAAAGCAAAGCTATGTGAAATTCAATGGAAGCGTCAGTTCTATTCATGCCATTGTAAGAAAATTCTACTACCAGTCCTACATCAGCCTAAACGAAATAGGGTGAATAAATCTTAAGTAACATAATTAGCAAGCCTACTTGTTTGCTACCATTCCCGGTTTTTCCATGTGTTAAGCCATTTCTGACCTTTGGATCCAGTTACCTTTACAAGCATTTTTATGTTCCCCTAATCTTTGTCGAATAGGCCGGCATGTCTCACCAACATACTTTTGACCACATGAGCACACAATCTCGTATCAACCAACTCTCGATAATGGAGCACATTTCTCTTTAAAAGATGGCATAACCTATGAAAGGGGGTTATTTTACACTGTTTTTACCTTCCCTGCCTTTCTTCCTAGTTAACCTAACTTTTAGAAAAAAATCATGACGGCAAAATCAAGTACCCCTGCTATAGGTTTTTTATTATAAGCTGCTGTCGTAAAATGAAGTGATATAGAGACAAATATGGGTTAGGCATCATCTTAACAGTCTTTGCGAGTAATTCCATTGTAGTCTATTGATGGCTAAACCGCTAACATTTCGCTATTATCTCAATCACTTTGGATGGGTCATAGTGGGGTTTATTCGCAGTGAATGCACTCTCGTAGATTGAACGTTTACTCACTCTAGATCGCTTAAGTTGATTAAAGAAATAATAGTGAACTTTGTCCCCTAATGCTAAGAGTGGGACATACGATGCCAATGAGATTCACTTAGCCTTGTCTCACAAATGGTTTTCACCTCATGATTGGATTATAGATGCTCCCTTAGGTCAAAACCGGTTCGCCTGCATTTTAACTATATGCTAACTTTCTGCAACAATCGATCTCAGGGCAGATATAACTTTTATGGCAGGACAAGCCTCTTTCAAATCACAGTAGGTAAACATATAATTATATGAGATCCGTTCACCCTATTTCCTTTAAGATGATGAAGGACTGGTAGATGAATTTTCCAACAATGATATGAGTAGACATTACATTCCCATTGAGTTTCACTGGTAGTCTCGAAAGCATACTTACAACCGAAAAACATTTATTAGCCATTAAAACTCATGATGTCACTTATGTTCTAAACTAACCCTAATTTTTTAGTAATAGCCCTATTATCCTAGCTTGCTAAAGGTGAGCAAAGTCAAAATGTTATTATCAAATCATCGTGGGAAAAATTACAGCATTCTTAAATAAATCAACTCAGGTGTTCTAGGGTGACTAAGTTCTCATTTAAGAATTACTTGTAGTTTTGAAACATAAATCTAAAAATTTTCTCGCTTAACTATCGCTCAAAGTTTTCACAACTCCTAAACCCCATGCTCGGTTACATGTAGTACAATGTTCTCTTGTTCCTTGCACTTGATTCTACTGCCCGCCTATCAAGCCGATTGCCTACCTCGAATTCAGCGTCCTGTGTTTGGTGCTTCCTCTATAGCCAAACGAACTAGTAGTTCGAGCAGTGGATTCGCCAGTCTCAGCATGACCGGAGGTGCCGGGGGTACGAGTAGTTGCTGTGGTGGAGGCGGTGGAGCCACTCGCTCTTCTCTTTCCACAAGTGCCTCCTCCGCCTCTTCTGTATCTGCAGCCTCTCTCGCCAGCATGACGATCGGTTCGCATCATTTGACCCGTAGCAACGGGCTGGCCAGCTCTCCTGCGAGGCCTGGCCGCGACAGTGACCCAGCCGAGACGGAGATGGCAACAGGACCAACAGCGGTTGCTGTGACTTGGGAAGCAAACAGTGAGGGAGAGCGTACAATTTGGCGGTCGGAGCGCAAAAGTACTGGGCCAGATGAGGAGCAAGAAAACGATGACCACTGCGTCTTGACCGACACAAACGAGCCCGCCTGGGAGGTCGGACTGTCGTGCGACGCCGCCTGGGAGGCTGGTGTTGTACATCATAGCGCATCTAAGCACATGGTGCTTGCGTACTCTTGCCCACGAGTCTATCAACACGCGGTGGCCAAAATAATGGCCGATCGAGGCGAACTGGAGCATTCAGGCGAGCATTGCGAACGTAGCCTGACTACGCAGAAAATGAGACGTCGGCTGATACAAGAGCGCCAGTTTCGGTTCAAGGAGGGAGCCGGAAAGGTGAGATGGGCGTCTCAGCCTGTATTAAGGCAATCAAGAGGAAAAATGATAAAATCTAGCCATGAAGGCTCTTTTGTTTGAGTCCATTCAACGAACTTGGCCTCAAAATGATCGTTAATGCGCCGTCTCTCTTTATCAAATATTCTAGAAACTGACAGAAATACAGCGTACACCATGGGATGGGTTACTGAGTTCTGATTTTTCGTTACAGATTTATAAGACTATTAGAAGAC